AAGGATGTAGAGTAGGGCCATACTTGCTGGGATGTAGAGAGGATCGCTTTACAAGACGGCACTCTAAAACTCCCTCACATCTCATGGGGAACCTGAGCGCTTCCCATGGATCTGTGGGCATAAATCAGTTCTTTGCCCTGTCCTCGCCTATAGCACATAGTAGTATCCTTTTTCACAGCCCCATTCTGAGCCTTCCCCCCACCCGGCTGGGGAAAATCCCATTCCTGGCATTAAGTCAGCAACATACCCACTTCTTCTTTCCACTACATAATTAAAGCAGAAAGATTCTGACTGTGCAGGTACTCTCAGTTAAAAGCTGATGACATGCTCATCCATTGTGACCATTGTAATGATGAATAAGTCAACAACTAAAATTGGCATGAAAGAGCCTTACTGTTTTTTATACAAGTTATCCACTTGTAGAGAACAGCAGGTCAGGGGGACATCTGGGATGGTTATGAGTATGTTGACAAGAGGAAATGGGGGTCACAACGAAAGGCAATTACGCATGGAGACGGCAGTTCAGCACAATTAAAACTAATGAGGCTTCATCTTAAAACCTGCCCGGCAGTTAGTGATTTTCTGCCACATGTAATCCAGATGGAAAAGTGCAATCATTACAGCACTAATACCTAAAGCCAAATTATTCAGTGCATCTGAAACTCTTTCAGTAAGTCGCCATCAACTGAACATTTTAACTCTTGAGTATCTTTTTTAAAATTCATATTTTGGAATTGTTTCTAATTTCTCCACAATAGTTAAAAAATAAAACAATTACTGACAAAGTTCTAATTTGGGAGTTTTTAGACCTAATACATACTTATCACCTATTTTCCGATATATTCTACAGCCGCAGGCTCTTACTCCAGCAATGCAAGAATTGCTGTTTTTTCTTTTTTTCAATCAGGAACCAGGCCAGAGGAAAAAATGCTTTCGCCTGGAGCTGTAGGAGAGCTCATGGGGACTACCAAGCAATATAAATGTAAGACTATCTGTCAGGATATTTTTGCAATGAAATGCAAATTTAAGATGAAAAAACAGTTTAAGACTAATAAAAAGGTAAATTAATAGTGAATACACTGGAATGAAATAAGATGATCTTAATTAGCCCAATGCACAACATATGGCTGCTGTTATGGTTCTTATTTGTTGTGACTCTGAGTTTTCAGTTTTCTGCTATCAGTTGTTTTGTTATTTTCCATGATCTTCAAGCATTCTTTAGTTACTCTCTGTTGCCCCCTTGTGATTGTTTTCTTTTCCCTTGGATTCCCTCTTGCCAGTTCCACCCACACCTGCTCCCCATTCAGCTCGTTAGTCCATCCTTTTGTTTGGTTGTCCTTAAATACTCCACCTCTGCAGTCTCTCAGTGCTGGTTCCTTCTTGTTGCTGTGTTCTCTACTCTGCTCGTCTCTCCCTGGCTCCTCAGACTTGTCTCTACCCTGATGTCTCCATGATTTTGAACTCATCCCTGCTTCACTTGTCTCTGCATCTGGGTCCTCAAGCAACCTCACCACCCATTGTTGACAGAAGGAACCAGCCAACATGGACCCAGCAGAGTCAAACTTGGCAGGAAGCATGACACACTTCCTGGAGAACTGTCGGTTCACACTGGACAGGATTGCCACTCTCAGCCCTCCCTGGAGACGGGTATGTGCTGCAGCCGACCTAAAAAAGATTTTAACCCCCCAAACAACTCTCCTGTCATCCCTAGGATTTCTGGACAGTTTAGAAGAGGTGGAGTGGAACCACAAGGCGGCTTTAGCCCAGCTATTAAATAAACCTCCTCCACCTCAACCACAATCACCTGCAGCAGCTGCCTGTTCAACCTCTGTTTCTCCCCGGCCAACTGCTCCCTCCAGGCGTAAGCGTCGCTGGGGGAAGAAGTCCACTCCCTCTCCGGCGGGTCAGCCTGACGCCTCCACTCCCTCTCCGGCGGGTCAGCCTGACGCCTCCACTCCCTCTCCGGCGGGTCAGCCTGACGCCTCCACTCCCTCTCCGGCGGGTCAGCCAGCTGCTAGCCTTAGCTTCCCCCATAACCAGGTCAGTGTCTCCCATAGTCTCAGTCGTCACCTCTATGACAAACAGCTAGTCCCATCTTCTAAAAAACTCAAACCAGGTCCACGTATTACACCCCCTGCAGTTAGAGCTCCCCATATTGAGGAGTCTCAGTTAAGGCACTACTTTTATGGGGAGAGGGAAGATCTTTTTCCTTTCCTGCCACCTCCATCAGCTCCTAGCCAGCCAGATCCCCTAGCTCCAGAACCCATTAGCGGTCCAGTTTTCCTAGCTCCAGAACCCATTAGCGGTCCAGTTTCCCTAGCTCCAGTCCCCATTAGCGATCCTGTTTCCCTAGCTTCAGTCCCCATTAGCGGTCCTGTTTCCCTAGCTTCAGTCCCCTTTAGCGGTCCTGTTTCCCTAGCTCCAGTCCCCATTAGCGGTCCTGTTTCCCTAGCTCCAGTCCCCATTAGCGGTCCTGTTTCCCTAGCTCCAGTCCCCATTAGCGGGTCAGCTTCCCCTGTGCCTGAGCCCATTAGCGGGTCAGCTTCCCCTATGCCAGAGCCCATTAGCGGGTCAGCTCCCCCAGTGCCTGAGCCCATTAGCGGGGCAGCTCCCCCAGTGCCTGAGCCCATTAGCGGGGCAGCTCCCCCAGTGCCTGAGCCCATTAGCGGGGCAGCTCCCCCAGTGCCTGAGCCCATTAGCGGGGCAGCTCCCCCAGTGCCTGAGCCCATTAGCGGGTTGTTTTGTTTGGCGCCAGAGACTCCTGAGCCCATTAGCGGGCCGTTTAGCCTAGCGCCAGAGACTCCTGAGCCCATTAGCGGGCAGTTTAGCCTAGCGCCAGAGACTCCTGAGCCCATTAGCGGGCCGTTTAGCCTAGCGCCTGAGACTCCTGAGCCCATTAGCAGGCAGTTTAGCCTAGCGCCAGAGACTCCTGTGCCCATTAGCGGGCCGTTTAGCCTAGCGCCTGGGACCCCTGAGCCCGCTCAGAGTCATCCTGATATCCCTGAGCACACTAGTAAAAGGCTCTCTAAAGTAAGGCTCAGCGGGCGCTCCAAGCCTCCACGGCCCCTCAGCGGGCGCTCCAAGCCTCCACGGCCCCTCAGCGGGCGCTCCAAGCCTCCACGGCCCCTCAGCGGGCGCTCCAAGCCTCCACGGCCCCTCAGCGGGCGCTCCAAGCCTCCTCTGAGGCTGTTCCAGTGCCGCAGTCGGCGGCCCCCTCTGAGGCTGTTCCAGTGCCGCAGTCGGCGGCCCCCTCTGAGGCTGTTCCTGTGCCGCAGTCGGCGGCCCCCTCTGAGGCTGTTCCTGTGCCGCAGTCGGAGACGGCGTCCCCCAAGGTTCCTGCAGCTGCGTCTGAGACGGCGTCCCCCAAGGTTCCTGCAGCTGCGTCTGAGACGGCGTCCCCCAAGGTTCCTGCAGCTGCGTCTGAGACGGCGTCCCCCAAGGTTCCTGCAGCTGCGTCTGAGACGGCGTCCCCCAAGGTTCCTGCAGCTGCGTCTGAGACGGCGTCCCCCAAGGTTCCTGCAGCTGCGTCTGAGACGGCGTCCCTCTCCAAAGGTTCCCCTTCTTCAGAGACGGCGTCGCCGGTGTCCTCCAGAGGCCCTCCTCCGTCCTCCAGAGGCCCTCCTCCGTCCTCCAGAGGCCCTCCTCCGTCCTCCAGAGGCCCACCTTCGTCCTCGCCTCCGGCCCCACGGCCGTCCTCCAGAGGCCCACCTTCGTCCTCGCCTCCGGCCCCACGGCCGTCCTCCAGAGGCCCACCTTCGTCCTCGCCTCCGGCCCCACGGCCGGCCTCCAGGGGCCCTGTCACCTCGCCTCCGGCCCCACGGCCGGCCTCCAGGGGCCCTGTCACCTCACCTCCGGCCCCACGGCCGTCCTCCAGAGGCCCACCTTCGTCCTCGCCTCCGGCCGGCCTCCAGGGGCCCTGTCACCTCGCCTCCGGCCCCACGGCCGGCCTCCAGAGACTCTTTCTCCTCCCCGGCCACACGGCTGAATTCTAGAGACTTTAGGTTGCCCTCGCCCGCCTTTTGTGGGTTGTTTTGTTTTTGGACTCTGTTTTGTTTTTAGTTTCTTGCCCTCCTTCCTGGTTTCCCCTTCCGCCCACCCTGGGTGGGTTGTTTTGTGTTTGGGCTCCAAGAGCGTCTGGTATCCGCCCTTGAGGGGGGGGTACTGTTATGGTTCTTATTTGTTGTGACTCTGAGTTTTCAGTTTTCTGTTATCAGTTGTTATTTTCCATGATCTTCAAGCATTCTTTAGTTACTCTCTGTTGCCCCCTTGTGATTGTTTTCTTTTCCCTTGGATTCCCTCTTGCCAGTTCCACCCACACCTGCTCCCCATTCAGCTCGTTAGTCCATCCTTTTGTTTGGTTGTCCTTAAATACTCCACCTCTGCAGTCTCTCAGTGCTGGTTCCTTCTTGTTGCTGTGTTCTCTACTCTGCTCGTCTCTCCCTGGCTCCTCAGACTCGTCTCTACCCTGATGTCTCCATGATTTTGAACTCATCCCTGCTTCACTTGTCTCTGCATCTGGGTCCTCAAGCAACCTCACCACCCATTGTTGACAGCTGCATTGCATTAGACATTTCCTGTGGAATCAAGAAATGCCATTTCAGGGTCTGTTCTTGAACAACCTTGTTATATAATTATCTGGTACTGTTAATAAATTCTACTTCAAACTCCTTTTGGAACCCCTGTTTTTTTATTTATATTTAACTAATTAACCTCAAGAAAAGCTGATCCTATTCAAATTCAAACTTAGATACTTAAAGCCAAGCAAATCTTAAAGATATATATTTTGTAATTCACACATTCCTAAGAAATGTGCATCTGAGGAAAAAAATGCCAACAGCCAAGACAATACTGTGCCACCTAATTACAACCCAGAGTCTGCCCCGCCCCCAACCCCCCAGGAAGAAAAAAAAAAAATCAATCAGCAACAGATGGAAGAATGGACACAGAAAGTTCAGGGTGAAGGGTTATTAATGGGAAATATGCTGGACACCAACACCCACCATGGTGGTGCTGGTCACAGCTCGTCGGTCCGGGCGAAGGTTGAGCTGTCTGGGAAGGAGACTCAAGCTCCTCCGCCAGGGGAGGGCTGGTGTTGAGTTGCCCGACAGGAGGGGGCCACGGTAGGTCCTTGATCACTTTAATCTCTACTGCAAATGTCCCGAAACGAGAGAGATGGAAGGAAAAAAGGAAAAGCAGCCAGGAAGAGTGGAGAGAGGGAAGCAATGAAGGAAGAAAGGTGAGGGAAAAGAGAAAAGATACAATAGGTAAGTTAGAAATACTGCAGAAGTGAATAGAAAATAGAGTCTTGTTAAAAAGAACAAGTTTATAGTGTGATTAAAGAACCGCAACACCTGTGGACTAGAAAGAGTAAGAATGAAAAAAGACTGGAAAGAAAGTAAGGTTAGATTTAGATGTAGGAGCTGAAGATATCGTGACCAAGCTTGAGATATGACAGAAGATCATAATGTCCTCCTTATAACTAGTGTTGCGCCGATGCCATTTTTTGGCACCGATACCTGGCTGTGCAGTATCGGCCGATATCGATACCATAATAATGTAAAATAATTGCCATCATGGCTTTGTCAAGCTGCTGCCTATGAAGGACCAACTCTGCCATATTTAAAAATAAATACAGAAATAAATAAATGCTCAAATGTATAAGCATACAATTAATTGCCAACAAAAAAGTGAGACATAAATGTATATAACTCTTAATTAGCTTCTTTATTTATTTGCCTTTGTAATATTTACCTTATTTATTTTTCTGTCCTTTATAATCTTCAACTTTATTTTTTAATTACTTATATTTATTTATATAAGCCGTTAGGATTATAGAATTTATATAAGTATTTATTTATGTGCATGTTATAATATTTTTGTCTGTTTTATTCTTCCTTTGTATTTTTTTACCTTAGTTATTTCTTCGCCGCTGTTTATTTCTCTCTGCCCTTTTTACATTTCTCTCTGCCCTTTTTACATTTCTCTATGCATTTATGCCTCATTATGCAAATGAGGAGGGGGTGTGTCCTAGAGAGTCAACTTCTGCTCATTGGTTGGCTTGGCGGTCCATCTTCTTAACTCACAGAGCTCAGAGTACTAAGTTAAATGTTCTCTTTTCTGTTGCTGTTGTTCAATTAAAGTATGTTTTAAGATCATTTGAGGCGAGAACCTTATACTTTCAAGCATCACCATATGGCCCATTCACAGATTTAATGCGTAATTTAAAAGAAAATGTGACGAACTTGAGAGGACCGTGGCAACCAGCGGAGCTCCGAAGCTGACGGCAGCCAGGTCTATAGCCAGGCTATGATGGCGATTTTTTGTTGTATTTGGCAAAGTTTGGCAAAGTCCCTACTCAAGTTCTAATGACTTCAGACTCGACATCAGACTCTCCTCCTGTAGATTCGACCGATGTAGTAAAATGCTAACCAACACGCTTCACACACGGCTATTCCGAGAGAGGGCCGCTGCAGATGGGCTGTGGTTAGACCTGGCTGCCGTCAGCTTCGGAGCTCCGCTGGTTGCCACGGTCCTCTCAAGTTCGTCACATTTTCTTTTAAATTACGCATTAAATCTGTGAATGGGCCATATGGTGATGCTTAAAAGTATAAGGTTCTCGCCTCAAATGATCTTAAAACGTACTTTTATTGAACAACAGCAACAGAAAAGAGAACATTTAACTTTGTACTCTGAGCTCTGTGAGTTAAGAAGATGGACCGCCAAGCCAACCAATGAGCAGAAGTTGACTCTCTAGGACACCCCCCCTCCTCATTTGCATAATGAGGCATAAATGCATAGAGAAATGTAAAAATGGCAGAGAGAAATGTAAAAAGGGCAGAGAGAAATGTAAAAAGGGCAGAGAGAAATAAACAGCGGCGAAGAAATAACTAAGGTAAAAAAATACAAAGGAAGAATAAAACAGACAAAAATATTATAACATGCACATAAATAAATACTTAAAAATATAAGTAATTAAAAAATAAAGTAGCTAATTAAGAGTTATATACATTTATGGCTCACTTTTTTGTTGGCAATTAATTGTATGCTTATACATTTATTGAGCATTTATTTATTTCTGTATTTATTTTTAAATATGGCAGAGTTGGTCCTTCATAGCTGCCTACCTTTGTGAAGCAGGAAAAAATCGAATGCAAATTGAATCCAGTAGAAAACCTTTTTATTGCCTACCAGGAGTGGGTGACAATAGTTGAATAAACTTATGGCTCTCAAAATGGTATCGGTGCCCTATTTGCTGGTACTCGCCGATACCAATACCACCATTTTTAGGCAGTATCGGGGCCCGTCCCATACTGGTATCGGTGCAACACTACTTAGAACCAAACTGACTTCATGCTGGAGCTAACATTCTACTATAAGGTAATTTTTGAACTAACTCCAGTCATCTAAAGGACAATATATGAGATCAAGTCCAATTACCATTTTAGTGTGACCAGAGATAAAGTGAAAAATCCTCAAGGTCTAATTAATAATATGGGATAAAAGACAGCCCAATAAGCTGGAGAACCTGCAACACAATACATTTGGGTTAAAAGTGTTCGATAAAGATGGTGCTATTATTCTGAATTTAGGCCTCCCTATTAAGATAAAGAGCTGTGTAGATACTATCTATCAATGTCAGGCACCTCACGCTAATCCATCCATGCAATGGGCACTACACAAGCTTTTGCCCCAGAGATAATGTATACCTCATGACTGGACAAAGCATTAGCAGGATAAATTGAACACTGTTGTGGTAGCCCATCTGTTTCCAACACAGGGCCATTTGTTAAACAGCTGAAAATGCTAAATATATGAGATACTGAGGGGAAGAGTTTTGTTTACCTTTATCCCAGTATTTCTGTGGCAGAATCTAAGGCAAATAAATCCAAATATATTTCAGCAGTAATATCTGTGCCATTCACATGAACCTGGGCAATATAAGCTGCTTGATAATATGTTTTTTAGGATTGTTAAATACAATGTCAAAGTACTGTAAGTGACACATGTGACAACTTTCTTCTACTGCCATACTGTCTATTTTATATTATTTGGTGTACTAGTCAGCTTTCAATTTACCACAAACATGGGGTTAGAGATTTGTATTTTACATCCTGCAAGTAAATGCATCGGTGTGGTTATCCTGAACATTATAATGAGAAGCAATATCTGCAAGCTGAATGAAGAGGGAAAACTAGAGAACATTCAATCTGACAAGCAAATAAATTGCATGAATATTGGTGTCGGGGGACAAATCTACCAATAGGTTGCTGGAGGAAAAAGCTACTGCCGTCTATACGCATGGGAGATGTATAGGGTTGTGGTGCAATGGCAGTAGAAGGTCAGAAACTATAAGACCTAATATGACTTTCTCTATTTTATAGCCAAGTAGGGGACTCTCTTGCTGTGAGATTAAAAGTCCAAACTCATTTCACATCGCAGATTAGTGTGTAATTGTTTGGGGAGCCGAAGGCTGCCTGAACTTTGGAGCCTCACTGTGGGGATAAGGAGATTCTGTGCGTGAAAGTGGCTGAGACTCAATTGTCTGCTCAGCTTTAAAATTGCATTCAGTGCATTGAAAACGAATGAAAACAAATAAAGGCCATTTTTCCCTTTTAATAAAGATAAGAGCGGCTCACCTGTAATGTATTAAATAACACTGTGAATCCAAAAGAAATCACTTGATTTGCCAAGGGCTCTCTGTGTTAAACGTTTAAAATCCATACATAACAATCTTTCTTATAGTCGTAGTAATGTAGTTACAAAAGCTTCGTGTAACCTGTAGTTTTCAGTGTTTGCAAAAACATTAAATAAAACCAAACTTTCTAAATATCTATGAACCCTTGTAGTGTCTTAAAAAGTTTGATGCATTTTATTACGACTTAAGAATAACCCAAACTTCTGCTTAATAATGATACCATTAATACATCTTTTTAGCTTTAGATGAGTGTCGTATGGATATACTTTTAAATCCTGTGTAGAACCACCCTTTTATTTAAGCCTCTACCAGCTTTGTGCATCTATTGACAGATATTTCTGCCCATTCATCATTCCAAAATGTAAACATGTACAGGATGAAACAGAAGATGAGCCTCTGTAACAGTATTTTTGAAGCCTCCAACCAGAGGTGGGAAATGTGGAGTCAACAAGTCATCTCTATGCCATGTATTTGTTCTGCCCAGCCACTGAACCAGGTGAGTACACTCTGCACAGTAGCTGCAGCATCCAACACAATACTGCAGGTACAATGTTTAAAGTCCAAATAGAGCTGCAAAAATAAAATATTACTACGCCTTCGCCGAAATGCAGGTTAGATTAAGCAAAGCCTCAGAAAGACAGGGACGTTTTAACGGTGACATAGTGAAGAGCAACATTACTGGAGACATTTATTGAGCTATTTTGCCTGATCAGCAAAGCTTCAGGCGAATGGAAACAGGCAAATTGTTTTCTGCGTCACGTCAGTAAAGTTACTTCAAGGCAGCTATGGATAAATCAATGTTAAAGAACATTTCACAGACAGAGAAGGAATAATAAAGGACATTGTCAGGCTGGTTGGGAATGTAGTGGTATACGATGCCTTTTACCGTTAGGAAAGCCGGTGAGGGAATATAGTACATAAATGAGAGGGAGAAATTCTGCAGCATCTTTCATCAGGCTGTGTATCAAAATTTAAATCCCATGCAAACTCATTGCCTTGGATAGAGTTTATTACCACATATCATCAGAATTAATTAGCAATGCAAGCTTTTTCTAATGCTAGGACTGTGTTCCACTCCCTAAATACTTTGGGTAATGTGTGCCCGAACTGTACAATCACCACTGACCACATTGAGTCATTTATCAGATGTCTTTTTGAACAAAATAAACGTTTCTGATATGCCTTTGTAATCCTGGAAATGCCAGACAAATCACAATTGCTGATTGGTCAACTCTCATCATTGGTCAATCAGTCCAGCCTTGAGGACTGATTGAAGGTAGTGTTGCATTAATAGCATTTAAAATAAAATCTTAATTTAACAAAATGCAATTTTTAAATCACAGAGGCTCTCAATTTTGACATAGAGTTTCTCACTCCAACCACTTGATCCATGCATGTAAGAAGAGGGAAGCACTGTAAAGTCCTGCAATTATAGAATCTGGACAAGCAAAC